TTGCTATCCAAATTTTAAGCATGTCCTTCCAATTCTAATGACCCCCTATTTTTCAAAGTCAGCCATTCTTTCATCTACACTAAACAACAATCTGCAAAGTACAATTTCAAATATGGTAATCCTGCCTTCTTTATTTAGCATCTTGAAATAATTTATATTTAATTCTCCGTTTCTTTGTTTGCCAAACAAATTTGAGGAAAAAAATCCTGCATGCCCTATTTTGAGGTCTATAAATACAAGCAATATACGAGCAAAAACCAGAACTGTTTAAAGAAATGCTGGGATATTCTGACTAATTTTCTTCTTGTATTAATGGTAATTTAAAGTATGGGATATTTATATATAAGCAGAATGAGAACAATGTAATAATATACTAATTATATTGAAGACATATTATTTGTGAAATTTAATTTATGGAAAAGAAAGTACTGACAAGGGCAAAAATACAACATAAATAAGATTTTTTTTTCATCCTTGCATTTTCCAACAAGTACAGAATTCACTTTTTTCAGATCAGTTGACTATTGTTGCATTGGTTGTAACAGTAGGCTTGTTGCCCAAGCCCATATTATGGGTTGAAAGAGAATAAGAATGCTTTCTTTAAATGAGTATATGCTAAAGCTTACTTTCAGTAGAATATGGGAACAAGATAATTGTGGCAGAAGACTCACATAGCGGGATTTTATTTTTATTTATTTTTTGGTAAGAAATAAGGAGGTAGGTTTTTTCAGATATTCCGGGAGAGAGTTCCAAACATATAGCGCAGTAAGAAGAGAGAAGAAGGCTGATCTGGGCAGGGACTTGGTGCTGGAAGAGAGAAGGACACCCATATTGGCAAATGGTTTAGGGCAGTGGTAGCTAACCTTTTTCGGTTCTCATGCCGATAATTTTGTGCTTGCTTGCTTACGCTCGCGTGCTTGCATACCAGCATCCAGAAGGCAATGTATGCTGCCCCCCCATGTGCATGCAACCTCCCCTCGTGCGCTGTGTGTCTGTGCATGTGCACACACCTCCCTCATGCACCGCACATCTTTCTGCATGGGTGCGTGATTCCCCCTCGTCTTTGCACATGCGTGCATGAGAGGATATTGCGGGCCTCGTGTCTGCACATGTGCGCACGATTCCCCCCTTGTGCACAGCATGTCCCTGTGATGCACACGCGTCTCCCGTGCACCCCCCCACTTCCCCCCTGCATATGTGCGCCAGATACCCGACATGCGCAGTGTGGCTCTTCCTGGTGACCTCTCGCGTGCCAGAAGAAATGGCTCTGCATGCCACTTCCGGCACGCATGGCATAGGTTCGTTCACCAACCCGGGTCTCCTGCTTGGCCTGGGGGTTGGACTAGATGACCTTATAAGATCCCTTCCAACTCTGTTGTTCTGTTCTGTTCTGTTCTGAAATAAACATTCTTCAAGCTCATGAGAAGGGTTAATGATAAGAACAGGGGTGGGTTTTGAATCCAGGAGTGGACAGAAACCTAGCTTAGGGTTTTTAAGGGATGTTTGATAAGAAGGGGACCAAGATGACAACCGAAGAAGAGAGAAGTTTACAGAAGTCTGTGTTAGGAATGATACGTTTGTGGGCCAGAGCTTTAACTGGGACCCAATAATGTTTTAAAAAGGGAAGTAGGTTTACTTTTCTATGTATAGTTAGTCATCGATTTACAGCTGCTTGCTTAGCGACCATTCAAAGTTACAACGGAATCTCCCTGGGGGTGCTTACAAAATGGTTTCAAAGTTCTGATGGTCTTCATGGTCATGTGACCACACTTTGGGCACACAGCGGCCAGGCTGCATTTACAGCCATTTGTCACATCCTGCAGTCACACGAACACTTTTTACAACAGTTTTGCTGGGGGAAAAAATGGGAAATTTTCATAAAAGTAATCCCATTCCCGTAAAAATAAATGTCCACTGCAGGTGCTTCCTGCAAAATTCCAGGCATAACATAATTTTGCATTCACTTCTATCTACTGTATTTTTCAGAGTATAAGACACATCGAAGTATAAGAAGCACCTAGCTTTTGAGTAGGAAAACAAGAAAAAAAAAATCTGCCTCTGCCTTCAAACAGTTTGCCTCTTTGTAGCCAACAGCGAACAGCCTGTTTCAGTTTTGCAACAGCCTGATTAGCACCTGATTGTTGGTTGGATCTGCCTCCTAGATGATCAGCTGTTTCAGGCTGCAGGGATTGCCCTAGCCTGTTGCCACCTCCATACGCCCCATTTTTGGTCTCCGCATCCCGTTTTCAGCCTCCCCACGCCCTGTTTTCAGCCCATTCCATCCGGCGGGGATCGGAATGGGGGCAAATGGGGCATTAAAAGAACAAAAACGGGTGCATGGAGGCTGAAAATGGGGCCAGCGGAGCCGGCAATACGCAATGGCAATCCCTGCATCCTGAAACAACTGATCCCTCGGGGAGACACAATTGACCGTCAGCTGCTTATGCTACTCAGGCTGTTTGCTGCAAGGAGGCAAATTGCTGGGAGGCAGAGGTCAGAGCGGAGGGGGGGCGGGGGGGCTTCAGCAACATTCATTGTATAAGATGCACAGACTTTCCACCCACTTTTGTGGGTGGAAAAAGTGTACCTTATACTCCAAAAAATATGGTAGTTCTACCTGGATTGAGAAAGTTAGCTTTCTAGTTTAGACTTCATCTCTCTCTCTTTTTTTAAAAAAAATAGATTTTTATTATATTTTCCACAAATACAAATCTCATATACAGTTTTGACAATGGTTCGGCATCGACAAATATACATTTTATATATCTTAACATATACATTTTATTTCTATAAATCCACAGTATCTTTTGTGTCTGTCTATAGTTACATTTATCTTATATACCTTGTAGTCTATATATCTAGCCTATTCTCTTAAGGTCTCTGGACCTTATGGACTTCACCTCTCCTATGATAGCTGTTACAGAATTTAGGTACAGTTTCTGATGAAAAGTTCTCATCTATCTTTTAATTGCCATTAATATCACTGGCGGGCGTAATAAATAATTTGAAAGGTATTTGGAGAGTTTTTACAAAACTGTATCTGTGTTAAACCTCCACCTTTTCTATTGCCTTCTGTGAATGGACAATACGTGTTCATTTGGAAATTCAGGAAGATACGTATGTGCTGAAGAAAGTAGACACAATTAAAAGCTGTTAAGCATACAAACATTTGTATATTGAAAGTTGTTAATCAAAGTGAGATTGAGTTGTACATGTTGTACATGAAGCTTTCTCGCTAGCTGTTCTAAATCCATCTGTCTAAATGTGTTGACCAAGGACAACACTAATATGGCCATCAATGCTTTTTATAATACAGACCAGGCAGCTGTTGCATATAAAATGAATACTCATAATTTTTTACCTGACTACTGTTGTATAGCCGCCTCTGTTTTATGCATTGGGCCAATTTTCACGGAATAAGAAACCAGGATTGTTGTAGAATTATGGTTTGTCTGGTTTTATTTGTCTTCTTTCTTGCAAATCTTGTTTCACTTGCAGAAGCCGTTCAGGTTAGACCTGAGACAATATCAACTTTTGAACTGAATGACTCCATTAACAGTATTGTTGATATGCTCAGACAGAAGTACTAGAAATTGAAGTCAACCACTAGACTATAAACTGAAAGGGTACTTTAATGGGGCCAAATATGTAGTCTTTTTTGAGAGAACTGGTATAGTTTCAGTGATTATTAACCTGAGTTGCATTAGGAATTGGAGCTGAATCTAGGGCCATCTGCACAATAGTTTTGACCCCTGACTCTCCTGCTATATACACATGTTGGGATTTTTGGTGGTCTTGTTGGCTTTCATTCATAGACTTGGCATGTTGCGACTCAAATTAGCCTCAGAAGTTTCAGTTACTTTTATTCTGATGGCACTCAGACCCAAAGTGCTTACAAAATAACTAACTCTTCATAATCTGCAGAATTTAATTCATAGAACTCTCTCTCTCTCTCTCTCTCTCTCTCTCTCTCTCTCTCTCTCTCTCACACACACACACACACACACACACACACACACACATTTATTTCCCTTGTTGTGGTTTTGAGGGCACATAACATGGAAAACCAAAAGAAACATTCTGTAAGCCAATATTTTAATGTTGCCAGGTCATTACCAGTTTATGAAATGGCATTCTTTCCAAGGTCATGGTTGAGTTACTTATAATTGCAGCTTAACATTATGGAAATAATACATCCAGTTCATTCTGACAAACTTTTGTCCTTGTTTGAAGCATCATTCAGGGTTTTTCTTTTCATAACTGGCAAAAGTAGCAAACAAAAATAAAAACCCATAGCATCAAACTGTCAATTACTAACTTCTTGGTTCAATTCAAAAGATTTATTCTTGCTTCTGAAAACATTTCTGCAATGTTTTCTATTTGAACTAAGTTATAAGTATTCCGTCTTTTGGGTTTTTTTGCATTTTCTGACTTGGTGTTTCCGAATTGTTGTTTTCCTCAGATCGTGGGCTACCAGGTCAACCTAAAGATACACATTTAGCTAAGCGTTTTCCATGAAAAAAAAGTAAAAGACAAGTGTATATTCATTTGTTCATTCATTCATTCATTCATTCATTTCCTATGTTTACATTTTTTAAAAATAAATAACTCAAAGTGATTAGAGTTCACTGTTTCCCAGTTTCTAGCCTGGTACCTTAACTACTAGACCAAACATCTCTTTCTTTTATTTGAAATTGTTGTTATTGTATTGTCTCTTTTTAAATACAAAACAAACAAATCTTTGGTAGTCATTATTTTGGTTACTTTTTGTACAACCTATTGATTTTAATATAAATTAATCAATGAAACAGTTGGTACCTTGTTCTAGAATCTGCTCTTGGGTAGCACTTATTTTGAAATACATCTGGTCAGGTAATCATTGTAAACTTTCTTACGATATTGCCACTTTTTCTGCACTGTATTGTCCATGAGAACTACTAGTGTTTATGAAATCTCATGGTGAACAGCATTTGTTAAAATGTGTTTGTACTGTTTTGCAGGGAGATCTGAAAAGCAAACTAGTAAATGGCTGCAGAGCAGAGCTTCTGGAATATGTTGCATATGGCCATGGTGAAAAATACAAGTTGAAAGCAAACTACTCACTGCCCTGGGAAGATGTGCAGACACATGAAAAAGGAAGTATGGCCGGCTTAGAAACAGAGAAGTGGGTGCCGAATGAAAATCCATCACTTAATATCCATGTGAATGGAGATGTCTGTAACGCTGAAACCAGGGATGAGAACTTAACACATTTTGAAAAGGACGCAAAACTGGTTTATTCTTCCAGCATAATAGATGAGGCCCCCAAGTTATTTGCACATACAGCTAGAAATGGCATTAAAATCTTACCGCATTCACCAGCAGAATGTGACACATCATTGAAATCAGATGTGAGCACACTGAAAAAAGCAGATGTGAATACTACTGCAAAGCTGGCCAACAGCTGCAATCACAGTAACTCCAGTGCCTCCTGGAGTGAAGCGGCTCAGCTGAACAGCATCTACCCTTTGGCAACTGGAACATATGGTGCTATTCCAGAAAAGAAGGACTGCGTTGTAAGCCACCAGACAGAAAACCCAAATGCCATTCAGGAAGCCGAAAACTCGCTATTGCAAACCATTTCACTTTTACACTTGCAGGACAAGCCACCCTGTACTCCAGTGCTTGAAAAGGGTGCTTGTCTTGATGATGGTGCTTCAGATATTCCTAGTAAGGATTCCCAACCTGAAGATTTGCAACTTCAGTCAACTTTTTTATCTCTGATTAAAAATAGAAATTTAACTGTGGAACAGGTGGTAGCTATTGAGGCATTAACGCGTTTGTCAGAGGCCCCTTTAGGCCATTCTTCACCAGCTAAACCAGAAGGTGTAGAGCAGCAAACGTCGCATTTGCTGAACAGTTACAAAAAGGATAGCCCATGTCCCTTAAAATCATCTGCACTGAAAGTAATAAAAGGGACTTGCCCACAAAAGGACCCGCAGCTTTTTCCTCATCCTGCCTCACAGAGGAGAATCCACCCTAAGGGTCTGTTCCACAAGGCTCAAGGTGCTATTTCTGAGTTCCCCGGTAAATCTTCAGGTCCCTCTAACTTACTGCGTAGGTTGCATTGCACCTCAAAAGACACCAGACCTTTCTCTGCTTTAGTGTCTGGTGGAAATTCAGGTATTGCTACCAAGAAATGCCCTCTTCATCATAAAACTTCTCTCGGGCCATGTTCCAAAAACTCAAGTACCGTCAGACAGTGGTGGAACAGAGGAGAGACGCTTGGCAAATGGGAAGGAAAGGCTGTTCACAACCTGAATTTAAAAAGCAGTTCTGTATTTAAGGGTGGGGTTCACAGCCAAGATGAAGAAGAGGTAGCCACCCAGTTAACTCAACTCGCAGCAATAATTGAATCAAGCAGAACCAGCCCCAATCCGAAGACAACGACAACCCTTCTCGGTCGATTACCACCTGATATGCAATCCAAAAATAAGCAGGATCAGTGCCTATTACAGAAGAAACAATCGGTATTTGGGAGAAACAATTACAGCTCCTTGTTAGTCAAGCAAAGGCAGCCCCCTCGGAAGAATGAGAAATCGGTGCCGAGGGCCAAAAGATTGAAGAAGAAACCTCAAGTAGCACTAGACCAACCAAGTCAGCTACAACAAGAATGCCAGTACAGTGAATTGCAGGACATACAGAAAAAACCTTCCAAACTGCGCAGGCTTGGGCGCATTGTGTCACAAGATGCAAAGCTGTCAGCCTTGGGGAAAAAATCTTCCAAAACCAAAGGACAGAAGGCGCGGAATCGGAGTGCTTTGTCATCCCAGCAAAAACCAGCGGTATTATTTCTTCCCAAAACTCAGATAATATTCCATCGGCCTTTACCGGCTTCAATACAAGGCAAAATAAGAAACAAGCCATTAGGCTGTGAAATGGTGCCAGAGCCCCTCAAAACAACCTGCTTTAGCGATGCACAAGGCGCCAGCAGCCAGAGTGGGGTCACAGGGGCTCTTCAACATGGAGCCCCGCTTTCTAGTAATCTGCTGACTGTTCCTCAGTTAAAAACAGACTTTTGCATAAAACAAGCAAGTGAAAACGGGCAGATGTTTACAGAAAAAGGCAAGAATTCTCAGGTACAACAAACCATGAATATCCCTCAGCTGCATCCTTTTCCTCAGATCTTCAGTCAGAGAGCTGATGGTGACATCTGCGAGGAAAGCCAAGCTAAACCACAGGACACTGTGGAACAAAAGGATCAAAATCTGCAACTGCTCTCTCGTAACGGTGGCGATGGCTTGCCAGGGGATACCATGCACACTCTTAGAAATGTGGAGCATGTAAGTGAAGCTACATTTCCAACATTAAGAACTTTAGAGACTGAAAAGCAACAGGGTACTGGGAACTTAAGGTGTTCTCCAACAAAGAATACACTCAGTAGTTTTCTTGAATCTCCCATGACATTCTTAGATACCCCTACAAAGAATTTAATTGATACACCTTCAAAGAAAGGACAGAGTAATTTTCCAACCTGTGACTGTGTGGGTAAGTGTCCTGTGGTTTATTTTTGCATGGTTGAATTTTGAAATCTTTTCTGTCTGTACCGGTCATGTTGCCTAGTCAGGTAATGAAATTTCTGCAAGCAAAAAAAAAAAGGCTCAGAGAACACCAAGAACTCCACAGTTCAACCCTGAGCTACAGATATTCTCTTCTTTTAACAATCTTTCTTTTCCTCAGAACATCCCCATAAACTTGCAAATATTTATACATGCAGAAATTTCACGATTTTTACTCCATAACATTTATCCAGATTCTGCGCGGATACCTTCTTGACTATCTGGATTTCTTGAATTTTCTTCAAATTTAAAAGCTGTTAATGTTGTTTAAAAGCTGTTAATGTTGAGCTTTATCAATTTGTGAAATCAGAGCTGGTAAAATTCCCAACTATATTTCTTCCTTTTCCACAACTTACAATGAAAGGAATTGTTTTATTTTGTTCAGAATTATGCAGAAATTGTGACTAACAGCATTTATTAATGCTGAAGTTAAGCCTTAATCCATAGGTCTCTTACTATATGTTATTAGCCAACACATTGAATTCCAGTGGCAACATAATACTCTGTCTAATTTTATTTTATTTTTAAATGGGAAAGGAAGAATCAAAACTGTATTTTTGATAAGTAACAAATTCAACTACCTGCAGAATTATATGGCAGTATTACCAATTTTAAATTAATAACCAATATTGATAGTGTTGGTACTGTCTCTTTGTTCATGTTGAAGTGTGACTCAGTTGCTAATCCCATTCCGGCATTTCAATGCCAAAATTACATAATAATGAGTTTTATCTAATAGAAGCATTTTACAGATAAGTCCTTGACTTATGGCCACAATTGGGCTGGAACTTCTGTTGCTAAGTGATGCGGTCATTAAGTGAGTCACATCCAATTTTATGACCTTTTTGCTGCCATTATTAAGCCAATGGCCACAGTTGTTAAGCAAATTGTCACAGTCATGGAGTGAATTGACTGGGCTTCTCAGGAGTCCCCCTCGGAAGGTGCAACTGCTATAAATACCTGCATATTGTCAAGTGCCTAAATTTTGACTATGTGGTTGTTGCAGCCGTCATAAGTCTGAAGACCAGTCATAAATCACCTTTTTCAGCAGCATCATTCCAAATGAATGGTCACAAGTAGAGGACTACTTGTTTATTGCCAAAGAGACTCCATTTGATTTAAGGAATTTAAGTGCTGTTTCTGAATGTTCATGCAATATTTTTAACAGCTTATTTAAAACTTTTGCTTTTTTTGCAGAACAAATTATAGAGAAGGATGAAGGTCCATATTATACACACCTTGGAACGGGCCCGAATATTGCTGCAGTCAGAGAAATAATGGAGGACAGGTAAGGAAATAAATGTAAATGCTAATAAATTAAAAAACAATTTGACACATGGATGGCGATAGTATTTGTAATGTATCTGGTGTGTTCTTGTTATGCTTTGGCGGGCTTCCTTTGCGATGTTGGATCTGAACAATAGCCCTTGTATATGAACTATACTAGAACACTTATTCATAGCAAGTATGAGTCTGTTTTAGAAAATGAGTTTGAATATTCTAATTTGCCTTTAAGTGGTTGTTAGCATTGGGTATTGAGTAGAAAGTCACGATATGCTTTATGCAGATGTGGAGATTTCATCGCTTGTTAATTTCTAAGCAGTGTAATCAAGTTGCCAAGGGTAATTGAAGACTGAACTACGCGAGAATTTCATGGGGAAAATTCAAATATAATCCCTGAAACAAGCTGTTCAAATTATAATCTAGGTAGTCAGCCTTTGTTTTGTGCATAGTGCTATAATTGTATCAGAGCACCTGGGCCTGGTATGTACCTATAGGCTTACATTCCTACAAGATGTTGGCTACCAAAATTCCCACCCCCCCCAAATCTCCTGTTTTCCTATCATAAGCCTTGGATTTTTTTTTTTTGTCTACTCAGTGCTCTGCTTTTGCACTCATGAGAGAAGGTATGGAATGCCTAGGCCCCGGCCCCCTTCCCCAAATTCATATTGCCACCCTTTAATATATTAAAATAGGTTAAGCTGTGGTGACGCAATGGTTAAATGCAGTATTGCAGGCTGACTCTGCCCATAGCCAGGAGTTTCATCCTGACCTGCTGAAGGTTGACTCAGGCTTCCATCCTTCCGAGGTCAGTAAAATGAGGATCCTGATTGTTGGGGGCAATAGGCTGATTCTATAAACCTATTAGAGAAGGCTGTAAAGCACTGTGAAGTGGTATATAAGTCTTAAGTGCTATCGCTGTTGCCATCTCACATTCAATTAGATTGCTTCAAGTGCCATCGGAGGTGGAGGTGGTTGTTCTTATACTTATTCCTTCATGGTCTTATGAGAACAAATACCAAATAATCAAAAACCAGTTTTTAAATGCATGTACCCATTATTATTCAGTAACACCAATCTTCTGTGTGACAAACAGTTGAAATTTGTATCCGTGGAGGTGTATACATCCAGAACAGTTCTGGAGTTAAGTGACTTTAAATCAAATGAACAAGCACAAATTCTTGAATTTTGGGGATGTGTGCTGGGTGGGAGACATTCACTAATCCCATATTTCCTTTGTGCATTAGGTATACTTTATAAAGATAGACTTCATAGCCTTTATCTAAATTCCAAAAACATTCAAATTGTCTTCTACAATTCGCTTCCTTCCAGATGAGTTAATTGCTATAATTCCAATACATTCACTGAGCACCAATTGGGGGAGATTGATTTAACCTTTAAAGTTGTTTTAAAGATTTATTTAAAGTTGATTAGACAACCCGTGAACAGTTGGGTCACCATTTCAGAGATATTTAAATACCTAATACCTAAACAGAAAAACAATAACCAGAGGCAGGCAAAAAAGCAGGGAGAATGGGAGCAATCTCCAACTTCCTACCAACTTCCCCATAGACTTTCCTTGTAGAAAGCTGGCAGAAAGCATTGGAAATGATTATTACTTGACTACGGCTGACCATGCCAACACTGAAGTGGCCACAACTTTGTCAGATTTCAGCCCCTCAGGGGTCATGGTTCCAAATTTTGGACACATTCTATAAGTCAGAGTTCCCCAATCTTTTCGACTTCGCAGACAGGTAGAGGCAGAGGGCATGGTTCCACAAGAGTGGCGGTCAAGCCCGCAGGCTTTCCTGCTGCTCATGTGAGTGGGGATGCATGCGTGCTCGCCCATCACTTTCATGGCCTGGTACCACAAGGCTCAAGGTCTCATAGTGGGACAAAGCCCAGGGATTGATTGAGGTCCCTGCTGTAAGTGAGGCCCTTGAAGTAGGTTGATTCAAATATTGTTACGCTAGGACTGTGATGCAGATGGCACACAGAGCCATTTGTGCCGGTACACGAGCTGCAGGCAGACGTACTTCACTGGGCATGCGTGCGCTTCACAGCTGATTTTTGGCCGGTTTGAGGCCTTTTTCAGCCTCCTAGGGGCTTGGGGAAGGCTTCTGCAGGCTTTGCAGGCTGAAAACTAGGCCCGTTTCATCACTTCCTGTTTTTTTGGAAATACCGGAAGTGACAAAATGGGCCTAGTTTTCGGCCTGCAAAGCCTGCAGAAGCCTTCCTCAAGCCACTGGGAGGTCAAAGAAGACCTCAAACCAGCCAAAAATGAACTGAGGTGCAGTGCAGGTAAGGGGGCAGCAACGGGTGGGTGGGGATTGCGCGCACATGCGTACGAGGCATGGAGGGGCATACATAGCCTTCTGGGTGCTGGCACACGAGTGTGATCGTGCTAGCGCGTGCACAATTTTTGACACAGGAGCCCCAAAAGGTTAGCCACCACTGCCCTAGGCTGTACTGTTTCATCCAATTGAAGGTTACAAACAATCAAACAGACACAAGAGATTTAGTAGTGTATAGACAGTGTTCTGCTTACAAATAGGTTATGTGCTGAGCGTCTGTAAGTCTATTTTGTTCACAAGTTCATGTTTTGTGCACATAAAGTAACTTTTTCCTCGATTCTGGGACCTTCTAAGCTGGGAGTCGTGAACAAGTTTGTATTGGTCAAAGTTTGTAACTCAATAGTTTCTAAGTAGACTATAGATAAAGTCATCCTGGATTCGTTCAGCATTTTGTACCCATATTAGCCAATCTGAGGCCTCTGGAAGCTGGTGAAGTCTCAAATCAGGATGAAATTTTAGATAATTTTAGTGACATTGCACTACTACAAGACGCTTCCTGGGCGACGTGCTCAAATTAATACACTTAATATGAACAGAGCAAGTGATAGGAAAACTGTAGCTTAAGCTGTCAGCATCATAAACTATTTTTAGAATACTTAACATCAGATCCATTTGACTTGCATAAAGATCTGTTTCACATAAGGCAATCTGCATTGCAATTTCCCCATTCATTTTCTCGCTGATTTGTTTTTCCTGCAATTTGTTTTTCTTCCCTCCAATTGCTTAGCCTCTGCAATTTTGGGCAGTTTGGCTGTGATGAAACTTTACTCACAAAAAAATTTCTGTTTACTTCTCTGCAACTTGTGTTTAAAAGATTCCAGTGTTTATTTATTTCAGTATAGTAGAACCAATGCCATTTTTTTCTCCCACACTGCATAGGTCCAGCTTACCTCTTATGGCATGTTCCTCATCATTTAGGATTGCTTTAGTACCATGTTGCTTACCCGGAACAGGGAAATGATGGAGCAATTGGACACTGTAACGGGTAAAAGGAGAGCAAGAAAAAAGGAAGCAGGACACTTAAATGCACCATGTGTCCAGATGATAACCCTGTGTAAACTTGAAAAGAAAAAAAAATGAATTGCAACCTTTGCGAATAATATGCCTTCAAATCCATATTGCAAATTTGTTCTTACTTGGCGTTGGCCTGTTCCTACCTAGCAGGATTTTTGCTGTTTTCTCATTTCTTCAGCTTTAGTAACTATTTGCAAAAATGGTAGAGACAGGGCAGAAAATGCTGTTTTTCTTTGGGTTCCAAGATTAAAATGGAGGAAGTTATGCAATTCTTTGTATTGTTTCTTGTAAAAGAGATTTGTCTAACAGCAACATTAGGTCAGGAGCCTGGTTTGAAAGCACCTGCTCATATTTTCAAATGGTACCATCAGGAATTTTGGTAGTAGCATCAAACAAAAGATACAGAGAAAGAAGAAAGAGGATTCAGCATAATTTATGGCATGTAGATCTGAAAGAACAGCTTCTGCCCCAAAACAGACCAAGAGGGAATGAAAGTGTAATGAAGCCATAGAAGAACATAGGTAACTAGAAACAGTGCAGGCAGCCCTTAGACGTATGGCCACAATGGGGACCAGGAGCTCCATTGTTAAGTGAGTCATGTTTGATTTCACAACTTTTCTGCCAAGGTTGTTCATTTAATCGCCCCCTGGAGTTAACTGACTCACAGAGTAGTTAATGGACCCAGCTTTCCCCATCGCTCATTGGAAGTCAGCTCGGAAGGTCAAAAATTGTGATCACATGATCCCAGGAATCTTCACAATGGTTGTAAGTGTGAGGACTGTTCGCAAATCATTTTGCTCAGTGCCAATGTAAGTTTGAATGCTTTCTAAACGAGTGGTTGAAAGTTGAGGTCTACCTATATTTGAAATTGGGATCGGGGTTATCCCTCAAGTCCTAACTGTAAGCATTTATTTATGGACAAGATGATCAAATAGCAGTAGCAAACACCAAGGCTGTTTCTGGAATCATTCAGTTAAGAAGCTTTCTCTTTACTAAATTGATGATAATCAAAGACTTAAAATGTTCCTGGATGTAATCTTGTCTATCTTTTGTGCTCTGTGACACTTTTTCTGGTTTGTTTCCATGTTTATCTTTGGGGCTGCTTGTGATTTCTTTGTGTTTTGTATTTTTCTTGGATTTGTTTTCCCATTTCTTTTTATTGTCAGCCCCCTAGGAATTAATTAAGGACCTGAACTAATAAAATCCATTTATCTGTACTCCCAATTAGAGAGTGGAGTAGCATAGATATTGTATAAATAACAATTTTTTAAAGGAGTTGATTAACCGAAGGCAGTTTCAGCTAGTTTACTTTCCTCCATGTTGGACTGTGTCTGTAGTCCTAATTACAGAGAAAAAAAAATCTGAAAACTGAAGATTGCCTGGGTTAGTGAAATGTTTTGATTGGAACTCCACTGTTTAATAAATTAATTGCTTTAACCAATTAATAGTTTTATGAATTGACTTAAAAGTGGACATTGTTAGTTGGGTAGCAGTTCTTATGCACATTGTACAAGCATTTACACAAACTGCAAATGGCAAACTCTTAAAAAAAACTTGTCCTTTTCTGAAAGAAGGAATGCCTCCTCATGGTGATAGCTTTTACTTGGAAATTATTGCATCTGCATGGCACAGTTTTGAGAGCAAAGTGCTTTTGACTCAGTGCTGACTCCTGGTGTCTGCCTGGACAGGTCCTTGCAGCTTTCTTGACAAGATTGCAGAGGTGGTTTGCCATTGTCTGCTTCTTAGGGGTGAAAGAGTGATGTCCATAGTGGAAAGGGTTTAGTTCCCCACACCTCTTAAACCAACAACCACAACAACAAACCTGGAGCATTGTTGCAAACCTCAGATGCCACAGTAGCAGTCTGAGTACTGCAGGATACTTATTTGATTTAATTGTATCTCCTCTCTTATTATTTTTACAAATAACTCTAGACAGTGGAATTTGAACTCTCAGTCTCCCGCTTTCAAGCCTGGTGCCTTAACCACTAGACAAAACTGTCTCTTATTTGCAGTAAAAGGAGGATTTATAGCATTTCTGTATGTTGGAATGGATCTTGGAAATCCTCTAGTTTGGCCTTGTCCAATTTAAGCATCCTTCCAGATGGTGTGGATTTCATCATAATTTTCCAGCCAAGTTGGGGGAGAGCTGATCCATAACCCTGTTCATATTACAAAAAAACGTAATGACAACATCTTGGGTAGTATTTTCAAGGCTACACCTAAGGAGTAAGTAAGGTATCCTTGACAGGGATATGCATGATCTGTTGCCTAGGAAAAAGGGGTTGAAGCATCACTAAGTCACAATGAGGTAGAATTTGGAAGTGGCTCAGGCAGACGCCTCTCTCATTCATTGCAATATAAAGAGGGGGAAAGAATCATCAAACTTGCAAGATTTTGTTATTCTAGCCAATCTCGATACAAGACTTCCTGTGGAATTGCTTTCCTGAGCCACTGTACTTTATCTAGTGGAGCTGATATCATTAGGTAAGAGGTATTCAAGTCTCCTGTTGAAGAAATTCATTCAAATGTATAGATGGAATTTAATTCCTTGAAGTTTCCGTCCTTTCATTTTAGCTTTCTGTTTGTAAGTGCACTAGACTAGCATGCTGTTTTAGAGCCCTGGGTGTCCCTGGGAAGATATGTTGGTGACTGCCCTTAAATCTTCAGTTTTTTGAGGCTCTTCAAAAAGAGAGAATCTGTCATTTTTAGAGGCAACATCTGGGCTTTCTCTTTGTGCTAACATATGATGCCTCAAATTTAATGTCCTGTTGTTTAAAAAATCTGTACTTATTTTATTATGTTATCCTCTCTTTTGGTAAGGATTAAATGAGTCTGTTTAAGAGAGTATTGCCTTCAGAAATGTCTTTGAGTCAGTTCAGAATGGATTGCACAGTAACTGTTGCTGTCTTTTGATGATCAAGTATTCAATCAAGTATTTTTCTGTTTCCCTTTGTGCAGGTATGGAGCAAAAGGAAGTGCCGTAAGAATAGAGGTAGTGGTGTATACAGGCAGAGAAGGAAAAAGTTCCCAGGGGTGTCCAATTGCCAAGTGGGTGAGTTTTTATTTTTTAGCAATGTAAGATACATTTGTGTTTACTTCTGCTATATTTTCCTATAATATTGATGATGGTTTATGTTCATAAAAATATTTTTCATGTTGCTCAAAGAAATTTATCTTACTAATATATCCCACTCTAAACTAAAAAGCACTGTTGTA